TGGAAATGTCAAAAGCAATTTTTTTTTCTTTTTTCTATCCTTCCTTCCCCGACCCTGCTCCCCAAACATTTTTTTTGTGTGTTGAATCTGTTGACAAGATTTAAGCTGCATTTGGCCCTTTGGGTCATCTCAGTCCTTCTTTTTTGGCAAATAAATTATGCATCCCAACAAAAATCACCCAGCTCTACACAGAAGAAGAATATCAGGCAAATGGAGGTGAGGTAATGCTCAAAATTCCAACGTAGCCAAGGCCTGCATGTCTGCAGACTGACAGATATTTGGACAAGTGGAGTGAAGTTTATCCTCTGATACATTAAATTAGAAGGCTAATCATGACTAAATTCCGTATGTGTTCATTGTTTCACTGTTGATCTTTGTATCAGAAACAGACAGCAAACAAATTGGTCCAGTGAGTGTCATTCCTTTGAAAGGATGATCCATAAGAATTAGGCCATAAGCTTGAAATATATATGAATAATTAAATAGTACTTCAGTTTCATAGATTTCATAGATTTCATAGACGTTAGGGCTGGAAGGGAACTCGGAAGATCATCGAGTCCAGCCCCCTGCCCAAAGGGCAGGAAGTCAGCTGGGGTCATAGGATCCCAGCAAAATAAGCATCCAGTTTCATCTTGAAGGTGTTCAATGTAGACGCTTGAACCACCTCCGGTGGCAGGCTGTTCCAGACCTTGGGGGCTCGGACAGTAAAGAAATTCTTCCTTATGTCCAGCCTGAAACGGTCTTGTAGTAGTTTATGACCATTCGACCTAGTTGTCATCCCTTGGGGCGCTCTGGTGAACAAATGTTCCCCCAAATACTGGTGGTCACCCCTGATAAACTTATAGGTGGCCATCAGATCACCCCTGAGCCTGCGCTTTTCCAGGCTAAAGAGCCCCAGGGTTCTCAGCCTGTCATCATAGGTTCTGCTTCCCTGACCTCTGATCATGTGCGTGGCTCTTCTCTGGACTCTCTCAAGCTTCTCCACATCCTTTTTGAATTGTGGAGCCCAAAACTGGACGCAGTACTCCAGCTGCAGCCTCAGTAAGGCCGAGTACAAGGGGAGAATGACGTCCCGGGATTTGCTTGAGAAGCATCTATGGATGCAAGCCAGCGTTTTGGTCACTTTACTAGCCGCGGCATCGCACTGCAAGCTCATGGTCATTTTGTGGTCAATGATGACCCCCAAGTCTCTTTTTTCCATAGTACTAGCCAACATAGCACTGCTGAGCCTATAAGGATGCTGCGGGTTTTTTTTCCCAAGGTGGAGAACCTTGCATTTATCGGCGTTGAACACCATCAGATTCTCGTCCGCCCACTTGCTGAGCCTGTCCAGGTCAGCCTGGATAACCTGCCTGTCTTCTGGTGTGGATGCTTTGCCCCAAAGTTTGGTGTCATCGGCAAACTTGGCCAGTCCGCTTCTGACTCCAGTGTCCACATCATTAATGAAGATGTTGAACAGTATGGGTCCAAGGACAGAGCCTTGGGGGACCCCACTGGTCACCGGACACTGGACACTAAATTATTTATTAGTCTTGGCCCAACCAGTTGGTTGGGCCAAGATTAAAAAATAAGTGGCTAAAGTTAGACTCTACTTGTATTGGCTCTTAAATAAATCACCTAATTCAAATAACACAGGTTGTGTTTTGCACTACATACTGATTTATTCTGAAGATTCTGAACTTGGATTCAAGAGCCTCCTAGCCCTGATGCTGCTCAAGCTGGCCTGTGGTATGTGGGGCATTTGTTTGGCATGGGCAAGGCCACCACCAAAGAGGCCATCCTGGAGATATGCAGCATCCTCCAGGATGTGCTGACAGACACTGTCCTCTGTGTCCACAATCCCCAGGCAATGGTGGCAGGCTTCTGTGCACTGGGGTTCCTCCAGTGTATCAGGGCCCTGGATGGCACCCACATCCTGGTGGCCCACCTGCCCCATAGAGACCAGCTCTATTATAGCCACAGGGGGTTCCACTGGATGGTCCCGTGTGTGATTGTGGACCACTGGGCATGTTCATGCATGTCAGTGCCAGCTGAGCAGGCAGTGCATATGGCACCCATGTGTTCTGAAACCCTGGACTGGTCAGGCTGGTGGAGAGTGGGTGCTTTGCACGGGGAGCGAAGGATGTGCAACTGGGCACCATCGTTGTCCCATCCCTGCTCATCGGGAACCCTGCATACCCACTCCTGCCCTGGCTGATGAGGCCCTACACCGTTCACTTGGACCCCTGCCAGGGCCCACTTTAATTGATACCTGGGCAGACCTGTGCCTTTGTCAAAAGTGCCTTTGGCCACCTCAAGGGCTGCTGGCATTCCTTCAGTGCCCACTTCAAAGTAGCCAAAAAGAACCTCCACTGGGTCATAGTCACAGCCTGCGTGCTGCACAATATACATGAGGCCCGGGGAGAGTTGTTCTGCAAGGCCTGGGCAGAGGAGGTGCTGCAGGCAGCAGAGGCCTGTTAACAGAAGCATGAACCTCTGCAGCAGCAGGTTCCCCATGGTGAGACCCTAGGTAAGCTGCTCACCTGTCAGTGGGGGTCAAGGCACCGGGTATGGGAGGCTCTGGTGGACCACCTCATGGAGCAGTCCCCTGTCTAGCCCTCCTGCCCCACCACCCACAGACCCCCTGCCCACCCCCAGCATAACTCTCATGCCAGGCACATGTCCAAACAATAAATCTTTAGTCTCCTCCCCCTATCCCCCCTCAAACAAAAGAGCCCCTGCCCCCACCCTCCTCAACACACAGAGCCCCTCCTCCACTGTCCCCACACACCAATAATAAAAAATCTTCTTCCCAGTTTCAAAACTACTTACAAGAGTCTATGTTTTTGTGCCCTGGAGTGGGGGGCTGTGGGGTGAGGGCACCTAGGAGGCAAAGCCTGGGGGCAGCTGGCGATCAGCCCAGTCTTGGGTCATTCACCCATGGTTCCAGCAGCTGTGGAGACTGGGGTGGGAGGGGGGCTCGTGGGTGATAGTGTCCAGCTGTGACCAGTGTCCTGGGCCCACGGTGTGTGCTGTGCAGGCACTCAGCTGTCCCTCTCCCCCCCCTCCCAGGGAGGAGATGGTGCTGCTATCAACCGGTGGTGTCATGGCTGGCCACCCCTCATGGCAGGGTCTGGGGTGCAGAGATGGTGAGGTAGCCACTGGCCAGGGCTCCCTGAGCTGCTAGTGGATTGAGCATCCAGGGAGCTAGGCAGGGTGGGATGCTGAATGCCTGACGGCCCCTCCTCCAGTGACACATCACCAGAGGGGTCAGGGTGGGATGGGGGCTTGGCCAAGTTGCCTGTGCTGGTGTAAATCACATGGCTGTGGCCTAGGTCCTGGGTCCTGAGGTGCCAAAATCTGGGTTAGCTTCCACATAAAGATCATGGTCTTATGGGCATGACCAGACTGACTATTGTGATCGGTCATGGCCTCACACAGTGCCCACAAGACCTTGACCTTGATGCAGCGACCAGAAGTGCCCACACTTCCGCATCTTGCCCAACAGGGCCTCATAAATGTGGGCGTTCAGGTGCCTGCCTTGCTTGAACTGCCTCTTTACCTCCACATGGTCCCAGAGTGCCATAAGTTTGCCAGTCTCCTCCTGGCTCCAACTGGGATCACAGGTGGATGGTACAGGCATGTGTATGCAGGTGGGGGTGGGCCTGGATGGGGAGGATGAGGAGGGCATCATGGTTCCTGCTCCAGCTCTCTGAGCCCCTGCACGGCTGTCATGAGTTGCTGGTCCTGGGCAGCTGCCAGCAGCGCCCAGTGCATGTTCATGGCACAGGACGGGGAGCCGCATGGCTGAGGCTATGCCCTGCAGCACCTGCAGTCACAGGGCTGCTAGGGGTTTGCAGGAGGGAGGTGGTGCTGGCCCTACTGCACTTGGGTGCCTGTAGGTGACCCTGGGGGCTGGCAGGCCTGCCCATAGACTGTAGCAAGCTACAGGCAGCAACCACAGGCTAGCAGCCAAAAGCCCCCCCAGCCAGCAACCACAGTCTCAGCAGGCATCAGCCACGGGCTGAGCAGCACCGCTGAAACAGTGACTGTGGGCACAGAAGGGCTGTGGCCTGCCCAGGGGGACATGCAGGGCGTGCAATACCTTCAGGCTCCCATGTTGTGTGTCCTAGGGCAGAAAATGGTTGCTAACTTTTATAGCCTGCAGACAGGGGATGCCAGTGAAGCTACCCAGCTGTGGAGCAGGAGAAGCTCCCAGCCACTAGCCCTGGGGCTGGCCTCAGGCCAGTCTCCTAGTGGCTAGGCAGACCCTGCAACATACTTAGTGTCAGGTTGCACCTACATGTACGCTGCTGCGTATTAACTAATCACACTTAAATTTGCAGGTAGCAAATGAAACATGATTAAGGAAATTTATGCATGCACTTACTGCACAGTAAATTAGGCAACAGCCTAGGGACATGCCTCGTGTAGACATGCCCAGAGATACTTAGTACTCTCTTACAGCATTTATAGCAGACATAGTGCTGAGATTTCCATCTGCTAAAATTGCTATACTTTTTATGGGATTTGAAGTTTCCTGTATACTTTTTCTTCTTTTTTCACTTTACACACTGAGTTCTGTATTGATTCTTAACACATAATAAACAGTGAAGTATTACTATGCAAGGGAAAGACCCAGAAGAATAGAAAATAAAACTGAAAGTATCAGTTAAAATAATTACGCAGCCTTGCAGATATTTGCTTTTTCTATTTTTCCTTATAGCAATAATGTGTTTCATATCTTACTTCTATATTTTATTCAAATACCTAACAACATTGTTTGAGAATAAGTTTTTTTACACATTATAACCTGTGCAATCAATGATGTTGCCACTGCTTTGTATTCTTTTCTCTCTTCCCTCTATTTCTTTGTTAATTCAAGTCATTTGTGTTAGTACAGCACTGAGCACAATGGAGTTCCAGTCCTTTTTGGGTTCATTCATGCAGCCATAATGCATGTTGCTATTGCTACTAGTAGTAATAAACATAGTGATAATTGTGATTATTGTGTTTCCTAGGTATAGCATATTTGAGTGGAATGTGCAGTGAAAAACGAAAATGTATAATTGCTGAGGACAATGGGCTGAATCTTGCATTTACCATTGCCCATGAAATGGGACACAAGTAAGTACATGAAAAATAGGTTGGTTTGTATTATTCCTAACTGTTAAATTGTTTTCTTTATCATTTTCATAGAAATATTGCTTATTTGGGCTCCTTTTTTCTTCCTTTCTTAATTAAGAAAGATTGCTACTTATGATAAAATTGTAAGGAAAGCTATCTTTTTTGTGTATGTGCTGCATTAACAATTAGATCTTTGAATAGTACATCAGCTTTTGTATGTATACAGTAATGTATTAGAAAAGTTGTAAGATCTAAATTAATCTGGGAGAAAACAGGTGCCTTCTTATCTTGTTTTTTGGGATTGGAGTACTGTGCATTGAATCCAGCTCTGACAGTTGTTTCCAAATGACATTTTACTGAGATCATAAGTTGGAAAGGACTTCAGTCGAGTTTGGCATTCTCAAAACAGTTCCTGTTAAAGCATAACGGTCATCACAGTGCTAGCTTTGTTTTTTTCCCTTAAGTAATACAAAAGGAGGACTTTGCTGAAGGTAAAGCTGTATATTCTTCTCAATTAGATGTTCATCTTTCAGGCTGGAGGGAGAATAAAAAGTATTATGGATTAAATATGAAAAATGTCCCATGCTGCCAAAACCAAAAGAATTAACAAAACTTGCATTCATTGCTTGGTCTTCTCACCTTTCACTAAAGAACAAACAAGTAAGAACTTCAGAAAATGTCAGTGTTATTGGGTGGGGAACTGTCATATTCATTGTCATTATTTGCTAAAAAGGAAAGGAAAAAGTTAGGGAAGGTTCAGATGCAGGTGACAAAAATGATAAAGGCCTTGGAAGGTAAGTCATACAAGGAGAGATTGAAGGAAATAGGCAATTTCAGCTTGCAGAAAAGGTGATTCAGAGGAGACGTGATAGCAGTCTTCACATTTTTGAAGTGCTGCCTTAAATTAGAGGGAGGAACACCTTTTCTCTGTTACTTTAAAAACAGAATGCCGATCAGTTGATTCAAGTTGCAGCAAAATAGGTTTAGACTGGAAAAAAAAAACAACTTCTCTATTGATTTAACGAGATAGTGGTGGACTAGATTGCCTAGGGATATTGTGGGATCTCCGTCATTAGAGGCATTCAGGAAGGTGTTGGGTAGCATTGGTTAGGAATGATTTAGGACTAGCTATTTCTGTTATGGGTATTTCCCATGCTTCTGGGCTTTGCTGGCTGCCATGTGGGGCCAGGAAGCATTTTTTTCTGCTCCTGTTGGTGCATGTCATGGTTTTCTTTACTTCCCATAGAAGCATCAGATGTTGACTACAGACCAGACTGGGAATTTTGACTTGGCGGGGGCTGGGAGGGCGGTGGCAATGCTATTGCTCCTGCTGGGACTAAAACCTAGAGGTTCCTGGCTAGAAAGTATTTCCCCTGCAGGGTCAGACCCATCACTGTGTTTGTGGTTAGGAAGGAACTTTATCCCCAGGTCCGAGTGGTATGGACTGTGGGTTTTTTTTATTTCCTCTGTAACGGGGATGTGGACCTCTTCCTTGGATTTCTCATATTATTTCAACAGCCCTTGCAGCAGCTGGCTGCAACACTGACTTCTGTTGTCCCTGCGCTTTACCTGTGTCTGGTTAGGGTGCTATGCCTTGTACCCGTGTGACAGGGTTGATTATACAGTTTTAGTAGTAGTTTATGCATACATATGGGGCTCATTTACACGAAACATTTATTGCAGAGCTGCCTAATTAGCTCCGCAGTAAAGTCTCAGCATTTACACATGCAGCCTTATTAGGCTGCAGGTAACTAAGTAATTTCACTGCAGGTTAGTACTTGTAAATACTTGTATTTACAAGTACTGTCTACAGCAGAGTTCTGTAGTTTGCAGCAGTGCACATGTAGATGCTGACAGGGCTGGCTAGGGCATGAGGGTGTTTCAGTGTGGGGCTGTCTGCTGGCTAGCCTCTCACTGGAGCACCCTCATGCACCAACCATCCCCTCTGCAGCACCTTGAGCTGGGTCAGAGCAGCCTTGGGCTGGCAGATTGATCCCCCAACCCTCTGCCAGCTGAGGCTGCTCCGACCTGGCGCAATATGCTGAGATCCTGGGTGCATGGTAAAATGTTGTGCCTGGGAGCAATAAACTTCAGCATATGTGCCAGGGTTTATTGTTCCATGCTAACAGCATGTATAGATGCACCTATGGTTTAGAGATCTACTCCCTTAGTTCTCCATGCTTTCTGACTCTACTGGTATATGGTATGTGCAGGCTAAACATGGGCAGCCTTTGGAAAGTTAATGCCTTGCATTGAAAAACATTTCAGGTTTATGTGTGGTTTGGATAGGACTCTAGAGTGACAGTTCATCATCTATAAAATGAACTTTCTCCTTCAGAAATATTTTTTACGTTATGCAGCCATCCTCACGTCCCAAACAAATTCACATTTAAAAAGTTAATGAAAATATTACTGCAATTTTACATCTGTATAACCTCATTGACTGAAAATAGGCTGATGCCTTATGAAACTGAAGAAATGCAGTGGTGAGTCAAAACTCTGACCTAAAATGAGTGCTTTCATTTGAACCTTCCATATCTGGGGATAGGGTCACTTTGAAGACATTGACAAATACTGTTGCATGTGAACAAACAGTGTTTTACCTATTAAATAGTAAAAGCCTGTACTTGAAATCTGAGTGTAGTAGATTTAACATATTTCCAAGTTTATTTTAAAGAAGGAGCTTTCATATAGATCAAAGAAACCAATTTACCAGTTAAAAAAAAATAGAATACTGCCAGATTTTTAAATCTACCACTGTTATAATGGGCTAAAACATATACATTTCAGATGGAGAAATAAGAAAGAAATTCCAGTCATGAAGCTAGTTTTTCATTTGCTAAATAATATTTTCCCATTTAAAGTGTGTGTGTGTGTGTGTGTGTGTGTGTGTAATAACAGCTGTAATTTTATAGCTATTCACGATCATACATTTTCTTTTTGAACACATAAAGGAAGGGTCTAAATTGTAACATCTTCAAATAAAGGTACAGTAAACACTATGCACAATAAATTTAAAGACAGCCGTTCTAAAAACCTAAGTGAAATATTGTTCTTTGGTTAAATACGATATCTTTTATTAGACCAACTCAAATAGTTGGAAAAATTCTTCTTAGCAATCTTTCGGGTATAAAATACCATCGTCAGTCTGAGGAAGCACCTGCAGTTGGTGTATGCTCTTCCTCAATGGAACGAATATTCCATCCATTCATTCTACTCATCCATCCAGGAAGAGCACAAAGCAACTACAGATGCTTCCTCAGCCTGATGAAGGGTATTTATACCTGAAAGCTTGCTAAGAAGAATTTTTCCAACTATTTAAGTTGGTTTAATAAAAGGTACCAGATTTACCCAAAGAACCTTGTCTGCCATTGTCCTTAGAACAACACGGCTACAACCTATACCCCTGTAAGTGAAATATTGGTAATTTTTCTCAGAAATAATCTAAAATATCATTCAGCATTTTTAGGTCATGTTTTGGAAAATAGAAATAAATGTATTGTTTTTGTCACTATCATTCACCCTATTGTTTTCTACCAAATGTTATGGAGTTCCTAATAAATATTCTTGTAATTCAAGCATGTACTTAAATATTCATAAACAATAACCTGTGCTCTTTTTATTGTGAAAAAATTAAACAACCACATAAAATCCATCACAAAGAATTTTAAACTCAGGTGTAGGAAACAAAAATAGAGGATTGCTTTCTCCAGTCTCCTCTGTGACCACATGGCAAAGTATATCATCAAATCTAATAAGGTCTCTACTTATAATGAAGTTAATTCCAAGATGTGTAGTAACAATCTTGTTAACTTAAGACTATCCAGAGATGTATATGTTAAAAGAAGAATTTTACAATTAAGCCTAAATTTAACAAGAAGTAAGGTTAGCACATCTGAAAACAGGTGATGTGCTAATGGCAGCGAAAATTCCGGTCTCTTACAAGTCCTGCTGCCTAAATATAATTTAATCACAATAATCATGAAACTTCAGAAACTGGACAACTTGTACAAAATTATATTTTTGAACCATCTGTGTTTTGAATTTATTAGGTTTATTACAGTTTGAAACCTAAATGACAAAATTATCATTACTACCAGAGACGGTATCAACAAAGGTCACCATATTAGTACATTGTGGCATGATACATTTAATCTCAGAAACTAAGACTGAGTTTTAAACTGACTATGATGAAATTAAGGGAATTTACAAGGAGTAAGTATAGAACAATATTCCCTAATATAATCTCCTTAGGTTGGTGCAAGTCTTAAAAGAATATTTTATTTAAAATTTTTCTAATTATGGTGTTAGAGACAGAATAAATGAAACCCTTCTCTCTAAAGGCAGATAGGGATTCTGTTGAAAGCTAATTATTTTCAAAAGTAAAGTTTCTAATGTGATTCAGTATATTATCTTTTGTGATCTGTTCCGCCACAGAAGTTCAAAAAACAAACAAAAATAACTGTATTGTCTAGTTTTGCTCATCCGCCATATAACCTTGGTCTGTCGTATCATCAGATTTCACAAAAATATTTGAAGAGGAGATATACAAGGAAAACTCAGGTTTCTGAAAGTGTTGAATCATTCCTTTTCTCTGAGGGAACATTGAAGGTGTCATCGCAGAGCCCTTGGCCTGGCTATACAAGCATTTGCTGTCCAAGTTTGCTGACGACACTAAGATGTGGGGCAAGGTGGACACACTTGAAGGGAGAGAGAGTCTGCAACTAGACTTAGACAGACTACAAAAGTGGGCAGACAAGAATAGGATGGGGTTCAACATAGATAAATGCAGGGTGCTGCACCTTGGGAGAAGGAATCCACAGCATACATACAGGCTGGGGAGTTCCCTTCTTGAAAGCACAGAGGCATAAAGGGATCTTGGAGTCATTATTGACTCCAAGATGAACATGAGCCACCAATGCCAGGCCGCTGCCAGCAAGGCCAGCCATACCTTGTCATGCATCCAAAGATGCATCTCAAACCAGTCCAGAGAGGTGACA